GGGGGGGGGGGCGGTGGGGGCCGGGACCCCCGGGCCGGCAGCACCCGCTGGGGCAGGGGGGGCGTGGGGGCAGCCGGGAGCCCTCGGGACACCCGAGTGACCCCTGAGGACACCGGAGTGACCCCTTGGGACATTGAGTGACCCCTCTGGACACTGGAGGCCGCTTTGGGACAGCTGGGACCCCTCGGGACACCGCAGTGACCCCTCTTTTTGTGGCCCATCAATAATTCAGGGCCCCCCCGGCCCGGCCCGGCCCGGCCCTGCTCCATTATTGATGCCACCGGCGGGGGGGACACGGGGGGGGCTGAGCCCGGCAATGCGGCACGGGGGGCGCGGCAGGGCCGGGGGTCTCACAAAAAGCCACACGTCCCCCCCGTATCCCCTCCCCGTGTGTCCCCAGTGTCCCCCCCGTGTCCCCCTCCCCGTGTCCCCCTCCCCGTGTTCTGGGGGGGTTTCTGGTGCGTCTCCCCCCGCCCCGATTGCATCAGCCACGGCTCGGGGGGCACCGGGCCTGGCACGCGCCCGCGGCACACGCGTGTCGCCAGCACGGCCGCCACGTGTGCGCACACGCGTGTGCGCTGGCCGTGTCCCCGTCACGCGTGTCGCGGCCGTGCCCTGCCGCGGGACCGTCGCGCCTGTGTCCCGTCACACGCGCGTGTCACACCTGTCACGCGTGTCACGCCTGTCACACCTGTGCCACACGCGGCTCGTGCCAGCCGAGGGACGCTGGCACCGGGCTGGGGTGGCGGTGACAGCGGCGGGGAGGGGACACGGGGGGACACGGGGGGCACCGACACCGGAGCCGGGGTGTCCCCAGGGAGGCCGGAGCCGCTGCCAGGGGACACCGGGGGACACCGGGGACATCGGGAGGACACAGGGGGACACCGGGGGGACACCGGGGGACAGCAGGGGACACGGGGGGACACGGGGGGCACCGACACCGGAGCCGGGGTGTCCCCAAGGAGGCCGGAGCCGCTGCCAGGGGACACCGGGGGACATCGGGAGGACACCGGGGGACAGCAGGGGACAGCAGGGGACACCGGGGGGACACCGGGGGGACACCGGCCGGCGCTGCCCCGAGGCCAGCCCGCGCCCGCTCGTCCCTCGGGCCGCTCCCGGTGCCAGCCCTGGCCCGGAACCCTCCGGTGGCACCGGCCCAAAGCCGCCCCGGAGCGGGCAGGGCGGCCCGAGGGGAGCGCGGGGGGCACCGGGGGCACCGGGAGCGGCGCCGGGAGCGGCGCCGGGGGCAGCGGGCACGGTGCGTGCGGGCCGGGGCACACGCGTGTGCGCTGGCGTGTCCCTGGCGCGTGCACACGCGTGTGCGGGGCGGGCGCCGAAGCTGCGAGAAGCGCCGCTGGCCGCCGGCCCAGACGCAACCGGCCGCCAAAACCGCCCCGAAAAGCGGGAGAAAAGGGCAACGGCGGCGGGGGCGGGGGGGCAGCGGCAGCGCCCGGCGGGGGCGGCCCG